ATCTGCAGATGTCCTCATGTCTAAAATTAGTCTCTTGTAAGCAGCCTACGGATGGATCTTCTTTCTTTATCCATTCTGATACCCTATGCCTTTTGATTGGGGCGTTTAGTCCATTTAAATTCAGAGTGATTATTGAAAGATATAGATTTAGTGTCATTGTGTTATCTGTAGATTTTGTGTTTGTGGTGATGTCTCTGGTCCTTTGTGGTCTTTGATGCTTTCCACTCACAGAATCCCCCTTAGGATCTCCTGCAGGACTGGCTTAGTTCTTGTTTGTCTGGGATAGTCTTTATCTCTCCTTCCATTCTGAATGACAGCCTTGCTGGATAAAGGATTCTTGGCTGCATGTTTTTCCTATTCAGCACATTGAACATTTCCTACCACTCTTTTCTGGCCTGTCAAGTTCAGTGGACAGGTATGCTATTACCCTTATGTGACTACCTTTGTAGGTTAAGAAACTGTGACCCTTGTAAGTTAAGGCCTGTTTGTCCCTAGCTGCTTTCAAAATTCTCTCTTTATCTTTGTATTTTGCCAGTTTCATGATAATATGTCATGAAGTTGACCTGTTTTGTTGATTTTGAAAGGAGTTCTCTGTTCCTTTTCAACTTGGATGTCTCTTTCCTTTCCAAATTAGGGGAGAGCTCATCTATAATTTGTTCAAATAAACCTTCTGCCCCTTTCTCTCTTTCTTCTTCTTCTGGAACTCCTGTGATAGGGATATTATTTTTTCATTGAATCATTAGGTCTCTAATTCTCTCCTCGGGATCCAGTAATTCATTTTCCCTCTGTTTTTCAGCTTCATCATTTTACATAATTTTATCTTCTATTTCACCTATTCTCTCCTCTGCTTCTTCCATCCTTGCTGTCACTGTGTCTACTTTATTTTTCAACTTGTTTACAACATTTCTTAATCCATCATGACTATTTCATTAGGTCTTTGATCTATGCAGCAATAGATTCTCTGCCATCTTCTATGCTTTATTCAAGCCCAGCTACTAGTCCTATGACTGTTATTCTGAATTCTTGTTCAGATACATCGTTTATATCTGTTTTGAGCAATTCTCTGGTTGTCATTTCTTCCTGGAATTTTTTTTGAGGAGAATTCTTCCATTTCAAGATTTTGGCTAGGTTTCTGTATTTTACGTGTTTTAATAGCTTGTTATACATCTTGCATCTGTGAGTACTACTATATTAAAAAGGGGTCATATATTGTCCAAGGTCTGGCACTTTAGGAAGTGGTTTTGGAGTGTGTTGCATGCACTCTCTTGTTGTGACTTGGGCTGCTCTATCCCACTGCTTGTGATGGTGGATTGTTTGCATCTTCCATCATGTGTTTTTTGCTTTGTTCATTGAAATAACCCTGGAAAAAAGGAAAGGGGAGGGGGGACCTTATCCCATCACAAAGAGAAAAATGAAAGGGGGAGAAAAAGACCAGGCAGAGAATCAAAGAAACTATAAAGTTTGACCCAGGGAGAGAGAGAGAGAGAGAGGAAAATAAAGAAGGAGACACAGAAAAGGTGTAATAATAATAGAGTAAAAATGCCTGATTAAACAAAAAACCAGAACAGAGAAAGAAAGGAAGAAAGAAGAAAGAAAGAAGAAAGAAAGAAAGAAAGAAAGAAAAAGATAGGTAGATATTAAGAATTGGCCAAAAATCAAATCAGAAAGTATGAGCCTGATTCCAATGGGAGGAAAGAAAAAAAAAAAAAGAGGAGGGTAGAAAGAAAAAGAAGGGAAAAGAGAAGAGAAGGAAAGAAAAGAAAAGAGGAAAAAAACAGACTAACATGCAAAACCACAGGACAACTGTCTGTTGGTGCCTGGAACCAGTGGCTGTGCTGGTCTGGAGGAGAGGCCGTCTGGTTTGGTCAGCACCAGTCCTGCTCTAGTAGGTAAGTGGTTACCAGGCACGGAGGGGTGGGGTTTCATGTAAGCAGGTCCCACCTCCACTGAGGGCCGCTGTCCTGTTCCCTGAAGCCCCCCGTGTTGGTGATGGGGAGAAAGATGGCAACACCCCAGTCTCTTCTCCCTGGACCAGGTGTCTCAAGCCACATCGTTCAGGCAGCCCTCACAGAATCGTGCAGGCAGGGGCTTGTCTTGCTCCACAATCTACAGCACCTCCCAGGCACTCGGCTGGGATTGAAAACCCAATGTTTTAAAGGATCCTGCTCCACGAGGACCTGTTTCTGGGGTAGTGCCACTCTGCCCATCTGACAAATGGTCTCCAGTCCCACAGTACTCAAGGGAAGGGACTGCTCTCTCCCTGGGCACTCCGAGTTTGCTATTCCCCTCCCCGTCCCGGGCCCACACACGTGGTGGTGGCTCTGGTCCAGAGAAAGTCAGGCACCCCTGAAAACTCTGATCTTCAGCTCCTATGGAGGTTTGCAAAGTAGAGTAATACAGAGAAGGCTCTCTCTGTATTTCTTGTTCCCCGGTCGATGGTGTGGAGAGGTTTATCTCTCATCTTAACAAAACCACAAAACCACAATCCACAGCTTCTCTTTCTCTCCCTTTTGTCACTCCACAGAAGGGGTCACCTCCCCTCCATTCCTACCCCACCTGTTTTATCTCTTCCAATCCACATACGTGCACCTCTGCCCTGCCAAGCTGTCTCCATCCACCTGGGGAGATGTTTCTGTCACTCTGCAGACTGTATTCCTGGGTATTCCAAATGTTCTGACCTCAACACAGCTGTGTCTGAGGGAAGCAGGAAGCCCAGGTCCCCCTACATCTCTGCCATCTTAAGTCCTGCCCCTAAAAATCTATCAAGATTTTAAATATGCCTTTTGAGCTGGCAATTCCTCACCTAGAAATATGTCCTGAACAAATACTCACGGAAGTGGGTGAAGATATAGACAAGCAGGGTTGTTTGCAGGACTGTTTACAATCATAAAAAAAATGGAAATGACATAACTGTCGAATGTTAGACAATGAAACAAATTACTCTGCCAAAGAACTGAAATACTAGGTAACCTTTAAGCTGAGGTCCAAATAAAATGACATGGAAAGATGTCCATGATATATTGTAAATTGTAAAAAGCAAATTGAAAAACATTATAAAGTATGACTTCTTTTTTTTTTAATATGCATAGGGATGTATTTGTGCAGAGAGAAAAAGAGTCTGGTTCACATGAAATGATCAACAGGAGGTGAACCTAGGAGGACTATTAGGGGAGTGGAAGCTCCATTTTTCCTTTATGTACTTCCATTCTGGTATAAGGCTTTATTCTCCATAACCATGGATTACTTTTATAATTACTTAAATGCTGATTAACAACAACAGCAACAAAGATAAACATGAAGCTACATTCCACACCCAACGAGAGGTCCGTTACTAACATTCCCACTTGGTTATCAAGCAGCTGGGACATAGGCTTGAGCAAGGGGCCTGGGCAGGCTGTTCTGGGCTTTGCCGCAGAGTTTCCAGCCCTGCTTTTCTCTGCAGCATGTGTACAAGATGTTGAGTTAGTCATAGCAGCTGAGGCCAGGGGATGAGAAAATGGGCAAGGGAGCAGGGAGGGGGCTGGCCCAGTCCAGAGGCTAAATGTCACCTATTCATATCCTCACTAGCCACCAAGGCCCCACCAGTCCAGCTTCCCCGCAGGAAACCTTTCCAGACGGTGCTGAGCGCCCTCTGACCTCCCATTATTCCCACACCACGTCTGCCCACTTTATGGCTCTCACAGTTTACCTCAATTATTTTGTCATATTTTAGTCTTCCCGGTCTACTAGATGAGAACATCAGCGACAAGCAGGAGTGCGTGATGACATTTCAGGATCGATGAGAAGATCCTGGCCTTGTCCCTGATCCCAGGTCCTTGTTACTAGCACTCTGCAAGTTTAAATATGATTTTCCTTATCTTAAAGCTTTGAGTCAGGCAAAAACATGAGCATCTCCGGGAGGTGTGGCCTTACTCTATGCTGGGACACTGAGACTTAAGCAAGAATGAAGGTTTGGGGGACAGTGCGGGGAGGGGATGTGTACCGAACTCTGGAGGTAGGGTGGGTAGGAAGCCCTGAGGAGCACAAAGCTAGGACCCCTGGAGGGAGCTCTCCTCTGCCTCACAAGGATGGCAGGAGCTGGCCCATGAGCCAGGATCAAGTCTCATGCATCTGAAACCAGAGAACGAGACCCCTGCTGATGTCTCACCACAGCCGTGCTGCAAAAGAGAGACCCGCGGCGGTGGCCGTGCTCAGCACCCAAAACAGGATCACAGCAGTGATTCCCAGGGTGGGCACCTGCTGGGCATTTTACAAACCCAGATGCCTAGGCCTGCCCCAAGTCTCCTCATCCCATAGGCCGAGCCTGAGCCCCGAATGTCTGCGGTTTGAAAAGGCCTCCAGGTCAGGCAGATACACAGTCAGACTTGAAACGACTAAGTCAACAGGAGGCATTTGGAATCAGGCTCGGAAGACAGACACATAGAAAAGGCACCGGCCCCCACCCCAGTGCCACCAAAGCGGTACTGGCCTGTCTGGACCCCCAGGGAGAGACCAACTTCAGATGCCTGGTAACCTGAAAGAGCTTCTTGCCCCCCACCCCCACCCCGAAGTGCTTACCTTTCCTAACCCTGGGGGATTAAGTGTTGGGGGAGAAAGAGCAAATTCCACAAGCCAGGGAGATGATACAGTCTTCCCACCCCAGCTGCCCAGGCCAAGCTGTGGCCCAGGGAAGGCCTGGATTGTTCCTGCCCTGGTATAACTTTGGAGCCATCTCCTGGACTTTGAAATGAGCCCGTTACATGAGCAAAACAAAGTGAAGAGTTGAGAATAAAGCCCCCTCCAAATCTGGCTACGAAAGAACCAAGCTCCCGGGATACCCGTTAGCAGAGCCAAGAGTCACTGGCTATCTGCATTCGCCTTCAGTTTTATTTTTGAGAATTTGGGATGAATTGGAATCAAAACTAATATTTATTGCTTGAGTTGCTTTTGTTCTCTCTCTGTCTCTGATAGATGATGTGTTTAACAATTCAAATCCAAATAGGAGATATTTTTGTTTGCAGATGGGTCGCCAACCACTTCCCCAGGAAGAAGTAAATCAAATCCATGAGGACTGCAAACGCATGGGGCTTATAATTGGCAGAGGTGGCATTTTTGCCCAGGTAAGAGAAAGACCGGTCTTTACCTACCCCTTTAGTTAGGCGTCTCCCTGATGTCCCAGTGCTGGTCACTTTGCTTCACCACCCGGCCCCACTTCCTCTGGGCACAAAGCTCGGTATTTCCAAGAGAAAAGTGCAGGGAGGCCTTCAGACCACTAGAGGGCGCTGTGTCCAAGAGGTTTCATTATGGCAGCTCTCCGAGGAGGGTCTCACAAGGCACGAAAAGATGCACCCGCAAACCAGAGGATTTCCAGTATAGGTCACAGTAGAGTCATCACAATCATGCAATAACTAGTTTGTCTCCTGTACGAATTGGTTCTAATCCTGTAAAAGCAATGCTAGTCCTTCTTAACCCAGCCTTGGGCTCTGACTTTGAGGACCCTAAACCTGCTGGGACATAGTGGTCACTGTGCCCATGAGCAACCTGAACGTGCTGGCCCAGGTGACCCTGCTGGACAGGTGGGGGACCACACTGGTTGGGTCCCTAATGAGAACCCAGAACCTGCCACTCGCAGTGCCCTTCACCCTGAGGCTGGAGACCAGGGACCAGCTCTCCCTGCTTGCTTCCTGGAAAGGCCAAGTACAGCCCCGGTCAGGTGTGGGCCCCTGGTGTGACCCTGCCCTGTGGGCATGCTCTGCTGCTGTCACTGGAGCCCTCTCCCAAATCTCTTATACCAGCGGGGCCCTCCCCCTGACATGGTTCCAGGGCAGAAATTTAAGATTTAGGGTAGCTCTTGCTCCTCCCTTAATTTGTTTTTGTCCTCTGTCTTCTTTCTTTCCCATTTTCAACGTCAATCATTCTTCCCCGTTTCCCTGCTCCATTTCTACTTCTCTCTCTAGTTCAGTGAACACTCTTGCCTCCTACTTCTCTGAGAAAATGGAAACTCTTAAAGAAGGTCTCTTTGTAAACTCATCTGTCCCCACCTCCATTTTTTAAATTTTTTATTTATTTTTGAGAGAGAGAGAGAGAGAGAGAGAGAGAGTGTGTGTGTGTGTGTGTGTGTGCATGAGCAGGGGAGGGGCAGAGAGAGAGAGGGAGACACAGAATCCAAAGCAGGCTCCAGGCTCTGAGCTGTCTGAGTGGGACTCGAACCCATGAACCATTAGATCATGACCTGAGCACAAGTCGGAAGCTCAACCGACTGAGCCACCCAGGCGCCTCAGCCCACATCCATTGTTTACTTCCTTTCTGGAAGATTCGGGGAATGAGAAGTCTCTCCTGTTCAAATTTAGATCTTCTACCTGTGCTCTTGACCCTTGACACTCTCTACCTTTGTTCAAGGGGACATCACTGTGTTCTTTTGTGTCTATAAGTTTTCCTCAACTTCCCCTGAAGCCTGTTAAGAAATAACCCCCCAAAAAAGGCCATCAAGCAAAACCAGAATGAGCACTTTTGCTGGGACAGTCTTGATTCGTTTTTTTCCTTGACCTGGTCACAAATATTTTTCTGTACAGATCAGAGCAATTCAATGATTAAAAATCCTAAGACCTGTAACTTATCAACATGAAACAACTGTTTACCTACTTAGTTATCTCTTAGTTATATGGAAAACAATTAAGTGCTAGACAGCAGTTGCTACGCTGGATACGAAAGTTATAATGATAAATAAGATCCAGTCACTGGAGCTGGCAGGAGAGAAAGACATAGAAAGAGCAAATTACAATACAATGTAGCAAGCTCATGGACAGCTATAGAAAGGGGTATTACAGGAGGAAAGAGAAGGGACTCCCAGCCCAGACTTTCTAGCTAAGCTGAGCCTGCGTTACACAATGAGATAAACACTCAAAGCATGTATAGAAACATCACAGAGGGCAAAGAGCTAGAGGGCACTAGTGTGATTGAAGCAGAAGGGAGGCAGTGAATGGTAATAACACAAAGCCTTAATGCTTGTCAGGCTTGAAAACACTTTGCATTGACACAGCCAATGCTCTCAACCAGCCTATGAAAGAAATACTATTATTCTAATGTGACAGTTGAAGCAAAAGAAGCACAGAGAGGTCAGGTAAATTACCCCAGTCACACAGCCAGTGAGTGGCAGAACCAGGATCCAGACTCAGGCGGTCTGATTTCTGAATCTTTGCTCTGAAGAGAAGAACCCAAGGGGGCAAGCCTGGGGGCCTTGAGTCTGGGGGGGGGGGTGCTGATGGTGCTGCTTGAGCTCACCCGTAGTGGAGTTGTGGTTTTAAGGTGGCAAGAATGAATGCAGCTTTGAACATGCTGCCTTAAGACAGGAGGGCCTTCCTGGAGCGACCTTTTACTCTGCCTGCCTCAAGTATTTGTCAGTGGGCTGCAGGTTATAAGGAAATTTAATTTTATCTGCCATTTTCTTCTGCCTTTGTTTCTCATATCACATGACCGTCCCCTCCGTAGCGAGGTGGGGGATGAAAGCAAGAAGGAAATGGTAGATAAAATCAAATTTCCTTATGACCTGCAGCCCCCTGACAAATATTTGAGGCAAATACAGAGTATTCTCCAGGAACTCCTTACCGTCTTAATGCTAATGATTTGCTAGAAGGAAAAACAACCTTAGCTTGACAATAGCAAGGCCCCTGGCATCTTCAGAGTCCTCTTTAGCATATGAAAGTCTTCTTGGAAACCTCCTTTTTTTGCCTTTACCTCCCCCAACTCCATAGTATGTAACCAGTCACTCCTCGCAAGCCCAGCGCAGCTCTATCTGCCCACGGTCCTGTCCCCGTGCTTTAATAAAATCACCTTTTTTGCACCGAAGACATCGCAAGGATTGTTTCTTGGCTGTCCGCTCCAGACCCCCACCAACACTTCAAAACCCCATCAGCTCTGGCTGGAGTGCTGTCAGAAGGTTGACAGAGGCAGAGGCCAGACTGCAGTGGGTTGGGATGGAGGGCAGAGTGAAAAATAGTGGCCAATAAGCATTAACCAGTCTTTTTAGTAAGTTTGGACGAAAAGAGACAATAGCATTCATATGGTAGCTAGAAGTGGGGGGGGGGGGTCGACAGATTTGTATCTGGTGTGGTTTGAATTTGTGTTAGCAGAGCTTTACGTCTGCTTGTTTATAGGCTGAGGAGGATTGAGAAATTGGAGATTTAAGAGAACGGGATGCTTGAGACATCGTTGATGCGGGAGCATAAGGCAAGCTAAAGGAAAAGCACAAGCTAGCACACACCCCACCCCCACCCCTCAACCCCACCCCGCAGGTGGGGTACGTGTAATATTCCTCAGGAGCTCCTGGCTGCCAGAGAACAAAGGAAAGGACAGAAAACAAATGGTTAAAATGATAGGGTCTCCATCAGTACTAATATCTTAGTACAATTACAAAAAAGGGGGGCAATCTTATCAATACCCTAAAGTCCAGAACCACCCCCCCCCCCACTGTCTTAATGCTTTGCAGGAGGAAAAACAACCTTAACTTGACAATGGCTAGGCTTCCAGAAATCTATGAGCCTTTAGCATATGGAAAATCCCTTTAAGAAACTTCCTCTTGACTTTACCTCCCCCAACTTCACAGTATGTAACTGGTCATTCTTCACTCTTCACCTTTTTGCACCAAAGATGTCTTCAAGAATTCTTTCCTGGCCGTCAGCTCCAAACCCCACCATCACCCAAAACCCCATCATCTTCAGTGCGGAACGGGTGGTTTTATTAAAGCACAGGGAAAGGACCCATGAGCTGCACTGGGGTTGTATAAGATTTTCTACCCTGTGGAGAGGAGGGTGATGTTAGGGCTCCAGGGAATTGAGTGTATAGGCTTCTAGAGTTTGCTTTTTTTCTTGTAAATCATTAAGACAGTTGCAGACTGAGGGAGACTCACGTGCTGCCAGACTGTGATATCTATCAGTTAACCACTTGGTTTTCCTTTTCTTTTGTTCTTGCCCAGTCAGGAGTGCCTGAGGAAAGTCACACATTGTGCTTTGCCCTCAGCTTGACTTTTGCTCCCTCAGCATTTCCCCCTGAACAACTCTGACCCTTAAATCTTTACGGTTGTTGAAGGTGGAAGGTCTTATCTTCTGTAACTTCTTCCTGCTGAGTGGGAGCATAGAGACATTTCTATCTACAGGTCAACATTGGTCAGTCAGAGAATGTATAGGAAAGTTATGAAGGACAGAGGCAGCTGAATCCAACATGGGCAACATACATGAACCTCCTTGAGTAGAAAGGATCATCTGTTGGCTTGAAGATATTGTAGCGATGGAGTCTTGGCACCAGGAAGGGTGACATGGGAGAAAATAGCAAAACATAATTAAATAACAAAAAGCACAAATAAGAGTCCTTTGGTAGTGGACAAAAATCCTCTTCCAGTCCAGGAGTATAACCAATCATGAAAGGCAAGAGAGGGATCATTTAAAATGCTAATTTGAGTATTCATGTCAGTTAGAAACCCAGAAATATTTTTGTGACAATCTGGAATGTATATAGAGCTTTCTGTAGCTATGAGAGCACGAGCTCCCCCTTGTGCAGCAGTTAGAACATCTAATGCCATTCTGTTTCGTAGAACTGTTTTATGCATTTGGGTTATTTCAGTGTGTAATAATGTAATGCTATTTTGAGAGTCACTTAAGGCTTTAATTGTGTAACAGTTCATGTTAGCCATCATATAGTCTCTGTTTTGTTTAGTAAGCAATCGGGTAATTAAGAAGAGGTGCATTTTATAGAAACAAAAGAAAAATATAGGTTATTGGTTGAAGCAAATTACAAGCCCAGTGTCAAAGTCCCGAGCGCTGCCAGTGAGATGTTTAGATGTAGGCTTGAAGCATCCTCACATGGAGCCTGATGTAGGGCTGGAACCCATGAACTGTGGGATTGTGACCTGAGCCAAATCCAAGGGTCACACACTTAACCCACTGAGCCACCCAGGCACCCCATGAATTGTTCTTTTAGTTGTGTGGCCCTGGGGGGGTACATAATACGACCCACTAGGGGCCTTCCCATTTCAGATTTAAGTCTCCTGCTGTATTAGATTTCCACTCTTTTAAATAAACCATGTCCCCTGGGTTTATATGGGGTCAGTTGCTCGTTACTGTCAGATCAGGTTTAGGGAGGATATGGTTTGCATATTCATTTAGAGCTTTATTCGTTAACCTGGCTTCAAGCGACTAATTTAATAAAGCACTATGGTCTTTATCTACTTATAGGTCTATAGTGAAAAAAGGCCTTTCATATACAACTGTTGGGGGAATCCATCCCATTTTCCAGTTGTTCAAACAATCCTATGCCCATGGGGTCTTGTTATTATCCTCAGAGAATGACAAGCAATAAAATTATCTGTCTGTGAGCTATTGTGGCAGTTTCTTTGAAATTTACCTCAAGTTGTCCAGCATCAGTTCTTAGGGCTTTTAGGAAAAAGATAGTTTTAGTGTTTAATGACTTTAAGTCAAGAGAATAGAAGAAGATTAGAAATCTTAGTTGGAGAGCCATAGCCAAATATGTGAGGAAACCAGAAGAATTCAGGATCTAGTCTAGTTTACAATAAATAGTGTTAAAATTAGTATCTACGGAGATGTGTTATTGAAACATAATTTTTCTCTATAATTACCCTCATTTTCATAGATAGCAAAATTAAGACTAATTTGTTTGTAAAATGATATACACAAGCTCAGCAAGTACAGTGATGGATCATAAAGATCTTTTAATATTTGCTTTGCTGGAACTTTTCGTAAGGAATCTCGACTGAACTTTTAGTAGCCCCTCTAGGCAGAAGCCAAGCCAAACACAGGCCATCAGACAGGACTGCAGTACCTGCAGATGTGGGCAAATTCCTCTTCTCGAGGTCCCCAAATATCCTGAGGTTCCTGCACCTGCCAGGAAGTGACCTTCTTTACTCACCTGGTGAGGCTGCTGTAAGCAAAGTATCAGGCCAACATTTCAAGGGGATTTATGGCTCCTTGTTTCATAAAGTCAACCTTGTTCCTTAAAGCTGTCTGGTCATAGCTGAGTCTATGCATGGCTCTCAAACATGACATTCCAGTCAAAGTCTGGATAAAATGACCAATGTATCCAGTGGTGTCCTGTTACAAGGAGAACAGATGCTTATTGAACTTAATGCAAATAACTGTGATTTTGCCACGGAAGAAAGAATACTCACTGAGACTTTTTGAATTTCAGAGGGTTCAGGTAGAAAGAAAAGTTAAATGCTTCAATTTGTTTACAAAGGAATACTTTATCACTCTTCTGTATTTCATGGATATCTTAAGAGAAATTTTCCTTAATCTGGAAGAGCAAACGTTAGAGAACCAGCAATGTTTCAAACCAGAGTCACAAAACCTATCAATCACCATCTTCTTCATTTCATTTAGTTCCATGTTACTAATTCCTACTCAGTTTGAATGCAACTTTTAGTTAGTTCTGGAAACTCTTACCCATTTTAGTTTTATGATCTTAAAGATATTAATATCACACCAAATACGTAAACCAGCAAATTAACACAACAAATAAAGTAAGCCTAATTGGGCAAAAAGACTTCCTTTACAATTTAAATCTTGGGGAAGTTTGTTTAAAAAGCTCAGAAAGAAAAATAAATACATAAATAAATAAATAATAAAATGAAAAGCTCAGAAAGAGGTTTTTCGGGTTTTTGTTGTTGTTGTTTCAGTTCAGAGCCCACTTTAGATCCTCTGTCCCTTTCTCTCTGCCCTTTCCCTGCCTGCACTCTCCCAAAAATAAAATAAAAACATTAAAAAGAAAAAAAAAATTTCTATCCTGTGGAGGGGAGGGTGATGTTAAGGCTCCAGGAAATTGAGTCTATAGGCTTTTGGAGATTGTCGTTTTTCTTTTAAATCATTAAGACGGTTGCAGACTGACGAGACTATCATCAGTTAACTGATCTCTATCAGTTAACCATGTTTTCCCTTTCCTTTGTTCTTGGGCAGCCAGTAGTGCGTGAGAAATGACACATATATCCCACCTGGGGAGAGAGGGTTACAGGGTGTTAGTTTGTGCCTTTCCCTCAGCTTGCCTTTTGCTCCTTCATCAGGAGTATCCAGGGCCAAGGGCACAGGCAGAAATTTTGGAGTTAAATAGTAAAGACACCTAGTTCTGTTCACCTTCAGGCGGGGATGGAAGAATGGATGTGGGAGCAAACAAGTTTATAGAAAGATCTTTCCTGACAGCTTCTGAGAAGCATGAGGCAAGGTTGTCTATGAAACAGAGTGAGAGGCGTAGGAGTTGGAGAAAATTGAGAAAGAAGATAAAGGTTTAGAATGGGGAAGGAAGCTGACAGAAGACCAGAGAAATTTCTGGACCAGCAGAAGTTGGAGACTGGCAATCTAATGGTGTCAGTCTCCCCAGCAGTAAGGTTTTCTCCAACTCTTCCCGCCTGCCATGTTGGAGCCGTGTGGTTCAATCACAGCTTTGACCAAGGTTGGAACCTGTGTGTGTGGGTGCAGCAGCAGAGGGTGGGGTGCACACGAAATGAGGGGGCAAGTGAGAAAGTAGTTCCAACAATCAACGACACTGGTTGGGCAGGAAAAGGGAAGATACTGAATGGGGCAAAGACCTGAAGCTATGGAGGATTAAGGAGACTGAAGTTTTCATGAAAAGGATAGATGTCATGGGAGTCAGAAATTGGGTTATCCCTGGCAAAGAGGAAGCTCGCAGCACTGGCTTTGGGTGGGAACTGATGCAGAGATGAAGTTTCTGGGAGTTGTGGCCATCAAGAAAGTTTGTAGGGCTGTATCCAGGACATGGAGGTCACCCTCATGTGCCTGCAGAAATGGAGTGTAGATCGGTGCCTAAGACCTCAGTGAAGGAGGTAGAAAAACCAGGAGGTGAGCAGATGACAAAAAAAAGGGAGAGGGGCAGAGCCAGATGGTACCAGAATTTTTATGAGACTAAAAGATGAATGGCTTGGGTATGGCATTGGGAAGGAAGGAGACCAACCCAGGAGGGAAACGCAAGAAATGTCATAAAAATAAGGTTTTAGATTCTTAGCTTGGTGCATTTTCTCAGAGTTATATTTGATTCTAGGATGATCTGCTGCTCTATTTTCCTTTGTCTCCCCAGACCTTCCGCATCGCGCCCTCGATGTGCATCACTAAACCAGATGTTCATTTTGCAGTGGAAGTATTTCGGTCTGCCTTAATCCAACACATGGAGAGAAGAGCTCAACAAAATTCTTAAAGATAAAAAACCATAAGCTTCAAGAACTTCCCACTTATATTCAAGGGTTAATTTGAGGAATTCAATTATATAATTGGTATATGTTGTCCAAGACATGGTTGACTGACTACCAACCACATTTGTTACCAAAGCCCCTATTATCTAGAGAAATCTGTCCTTCAGGAAGACATCTCTATCCCTAGCTCAGAGAATGAATCTTAATTAGTTTAGGTTAGTAATGGTAATTTAGTTTCATTTTGCCAGCAGTTGGTTTATGCATGACATCTGACATATTTGGGGACAATAAATCCTGAATAAAAGTATTTTGATGGACATGACTCCAGGCAAAGGTTTCTTTATCCTTCATTCTTCATTATCAGAAGACATGTCTTCTTGAACTGGGCATCTTATGTCATGATGGAACTGCTCAAATCATGTCAGCCATTTTCAGGCCATGAAGACAAAACTTCTTTGCTAGGGTTGGAAGGTAGAAACAAGCCGAGTCTAGGGGCGCCAACATTGGCTCAGATCATGATCTCACAGTCCATGGGTTCAAGCCCCACATCGGGCTCTGTGCTGACAGCTCAGAGCCTGGAGCCTGCTTCAAATTCTGTGTTGACCTCTCTCTGCCCCTCCCTTGCTCATGCTCTCTCTCTCTCTCTCAAAAAAATAAACATTAAAAAAATTTTTTTAAGAGAAAGAAGCTGAGCTTTTAGTAATGTCAATGAGCCACTGACTTAGCCAAACGTGGATTCTTACCTTGGACCTTCTTGCTATATGAGATAATAAATTCTTTGTATTGCACAAACATTTTTTGATTTAAGCTTTCTATTATTGTAGCCATAAGCATCCCAAGAAATGATGCAGAAGATATCCTAGGAAGACAGCCATCCCCTTCGTTTTTAACTCCATTAAAATATTTATCAGAGCCTTCTTCTCAATTTCCACTTCCATCCCCTCACCCTGAACTAAACCCTTGTTACTCCTATTGCAATAGTCTCCAAAACCAGAATTTTCCAAACTTTAGTCATTAGAAAATGCGCATTCATCATGTTTTTCCTCCATATGTGTAAAACACCTGACTTAGAACTGATAGTAACCTTTCTATAGTAAGAACAAATGAGAAATCAGTACTACTTGTCATAACTGGAAAATAATCCTACAAATAGAATGAACACAAAGCAATGTAATTCAGTTTTAGCAAAATGCAATTGCTTGCAGATGTTCTCAGTCTGAGGCTTGTTCTCTCTTTGTTCAAAAGGGAGATTCAAGAGTATTTGAGGGCTGTCAAAAACTGCTGGCAAACTGATATCCTTTCCTTAACACAAACAGGAGAGGATCTGCAGAACTGAAAGGAAATAACTTTCTCAGCATGCATAGATGTTTATCTGAGCTGTGTCCAGTTGGATGCCATGTTCTAGTAACCTACCCCTTGAGGTATCTGTTCCGCTAACGCATCCTATACCTCGCTGCCAAATTTGTCTCCCTTGGTTATTGATTTAAACATGGCATCCCCTTGCACAGAAACTTCCAGTTGCTCCCCATTGTTTCCTGGATAAGATCAAAACCTCTTTAATAAGGAGTTCAATTCCTTCCTGTATCCAATTTCCAAACAGAGCAAACGTTTTAGAAATGTTCTGTTTTGAAAAGTGGAAAGGTCATTGAATTGAGAGCCAAATGATCTGAATTCTAAACTCAGTTCTTCCACCACTTACTTATTCTAGATGACCTTGGGTGAGACTTCTAACCACTTTTTTGAACCTCATTTTGTTCCCAGGCATATCAACACTTGCCCTTCCTACCTCCTGAGTTGTGTTGTGGATCAAGTAAGCTAATGAATTAAAAGCACTTTATAAACCCATGAACTATGCAAATAGAAATTCTTCCCTTCAAGCTACATTTCTCTTCTTTCTTTTACTACAATATCTCCCAAGAGCAGTTTTTGTGCTTCTGTTATGCTTCCTTGCCTCCTGGCCATGTCTCAACAACTAGGACCTCACTCCTGCCTCTCATTCCTTGGAAACTGCCTCTCAAAAGGCCATCAGTGACTTCCTTATGACCAAAACTAACGTTTCCTTTCAATGTTCTTCCTAAACAACTGCTCTTTTATTTACTTATTTTTGTAAGTAGGCTCCACACCCAATGTGGGGCTTGAACTCACAATACTGAGATCAAAAGTCATATGTTCTAGTGACGGAGCCAGCCAAGCACCTCACAACTGCTCCTTTTTGAATAGGATTTTCCTTGGCTTCTGCAGTGTGGTCCTTCTGTCTCTGATGGCTCCTTCTCAGTCTCTTTCCTGGCAACTCCTCAACTTCAAGGTTCTATCCCGGGCCATCTCTTCTTCCATGCTATACTCTCTTCCTCCGAGTACCTCATCTGCTTCAGGAATTTCACCTGTCCTGACTATGCTGGTGACTTCCAAATATTCATCCTTAGTGTCAACCTTTTTTCTGAGCCCCAGCCCAAAGATTCTAGCTGTCTGGATCTTCATTCAGATGTCACAAGGACCCTTAAAATACATCAGGCATAAAATACATTGAATATCTCTCCTCCAGTGAAACCCTGGATTAATTGTACCATTTTGTCTAGGGCTCACAATTCAGGGCATTACTTTTCACCAAGTAATTTTTTTCCCCCTTCATATGACTGAGTTTAGTGAATACATTCTCCAACAGCTTTTTCAATATGTCCACTTCAACCAAAACCACCTTAATTTGGGCCATCATCATTATCTCCTCTAAACTACTTAAACTACCTCCTAACTGGTATTCTGGACTCCTTCCCAATCCATTCTCTATACTGACACCAGTTACTTACTTAAAGGATAAATATGTTCACATCTTTCACCTCTTGAAGACTTTGAGGGTTCCTTATTGTCCATGGAACAAAGTCCAAACTCCAACTATTATGACATTAAAAGGCCTTCATAATTTGTCCCCCAACCACCTTTATGCACTTTACTTCTGTTCTTTCCATGCTATGCACATCAGTTCTTTGCTCCTATAGTTCACTCTACCTGGTAGGTTCTTCCTCTCTTCATTGTCAATGGAAATTATGGGGTCAAGGAGTTTAGACAAAGAAGCCAAGACTTGCTTCTTTGTTCCTCTTCAAAGCCTTCTCATTTTCAATATTCCTTCTCTTTAAAAATAAAGTAAAAGGGAAAAACACTGAAAATAAATTTATAATAACCATTTGGGAATTTAGCAAAACATGAAGAGGAAACAATAAAACACAAATCCAAAACAAAGCAAACAAGCAAAACAAAATGTTTCATGCTCAAGCCCAGGTCCCTGCCAATGCCAAAACATCCTCTCCTGGAAGGAATGGGCTAGAGAGGTTTCGTCGTTCAGATATATTCATAGAACACATTCCTTGTGGCTTCCTGAGTCCTATAGGACCTTGTGTACACTGTTACTTTCTCACCTCCAGGGATCACTATAGAGTAAAAGCCGGCTGTGGAATTCTTCCCGGGAGCAGCGTTCTGGGTCTCGCTTCCTAATAATGAGAGTTTCATGGCTCTACCTGAATGCTTATTGATCAGGAGAAACTGCTCCTCTTTTTTTTTTTTTTTTTTTTTTTTTTTAGTTTATTTTTTTATTTCGAGAGAGAGAGAGAGAGAGAGGGCACATGCAAGTGAGGGAGGGGCAGAGAAAGAGTGAGAGAGAGAAAATCCCAAGCAGGCTCCAAACTGTCAGCGCACAGCCTGATTTGGGGCTCAAACTCAGGAACCATGAGAGCATAATCTGAGCTGAAGTCAGGCTTTTAACCAACTGAGCCACCAGGGCATCCCAGGTCCTCTTTCTTGAGGAGCAGGTGGGGATTTAAGATGTACAAGCCATCAGAGGAATGGAGCAAAAAGGGCAAAAATTATGCCCTTACAGCACGTATGGTCATTCATCCCTTTCACTAGTTTATAAACATGATGGATTTCTACTTCGTTCCATTTGGAGCCGTGGGCAGGAGTTTAGCACCACCATTTTCCTCCCTTCCATTTTCTGCTCTACCCACAGGAGGTGGGAGGCAAGCCAGCTTATATAAGGCAAGGAACCCACATTCTTGCCAAGCTCTTTTTTACTTCTTTACTTGTTAAAATGGTCTAAAGTGAAGATAATGAACACTCAGCTCAAGTAAACTTTTTTCCACACAAGGAACATATTGACAGTTAATCATGTGATCAGAATATAAAAGTAAAAGGCTGGCAGCTGTTTAAAAATTCTTGAAATGCCAATCCACTCAGAAGAGAGTAATTAAAATAATAAAAAAAAAAAAGACCACATTACATCAAGCTTTGGTTATGCCACTAATAACAATTATAAAGTGATATAAAATAACACTTATAAAGAGACAATACAGTCACAAACTATGCTCTTGGTTTCGTTATAAAACTCCATTTTTTTTATATCAGCGTAGTTTTTAACTTCCAAGTAATTCAAGCTCACCTCAGAAGGTGTTTCTAAACCACAGGAGGACTGAATTCTTCTTCTACCTTTTCAATCCCACTTTCTTGTAGAGAACAACAAAAGCATAACAGAAAACATCACAACATTTGCTACTTTGTCATCAGAATGTCAATGCCAGAACATCTTAGTCATCATTAGAAGCAGGTTGAAGGCTACTGAGCCCTGCATCCACCCTTGCTCTGGGTTACTTAAAGCAGAAGGCTCACTTCCAACAGGGCACAAGCAGTAAAAATGGGTCATAGCTTTGTCCCTTTAAAAATGGGCACAGTACAATCCAACTCCACAAAATACCTCAACAAAAGCGAAAGGTCCACCGAATTTCGTAAGAGTGAAGACACAGAAACAAAGTCTTCATTATACCAATTCAGACATAGGGAGCATTTGGTAGAATTGGAAGTGTCATTCCGCATTACATGACGAAGAGCAGCCATACAAAGAGATGTCAAGAAAACCATCTAATTAAGAACTGGTTTGGGAGGGTCATTGCGGACAGCAACTAGTGAAAACAGAAACTTTTAATTAGTCGGAACAACATGATGCAACGGAGTGAGTCTGCGTACTCTCCGCTTGATTTGTTTCCAGCAAATTCACCTCTCTAAGCGGAAGCTTCCTGTCTCCAAAGAGAATATAACGTCGTGGAACCCTTATGAGGAATAAATAAGAAAATACACCGGCATCTGCTCAACTAATATTAACTCTTTCCTTGGCATCTCTTTCCTTTTGACACTGAACTTCCTTAGCTGGTGCTTGGGCTAATGTCTATTCTTGTGTATACAACTCATGTCCCTTACTAGACTCTAAACTACTAGAGCCAAGGCAGAGTGACCTTGTCTTCTCCATCCTCGTATATCTGCCTAACAGCTCACCTTACAGAA